CAGCCAGGGGGTGCGCCGGGCCACCGGTGCTGGGCGGCCAGGGGTGGTCGGCCGGGGGCCGGGCCCGGGGCCAGCACCCCAGGGCCCGAGCTGACCCAGGCTGGAAACGCCGGGGGGGCCAGCCTGGGCCACGCCTCCTTCCCCCACATCCCCCCTTACCTGCTTCAGGCTTCCCGCGAATCAAATGTTCGCGGGAAGCAGGGGAGGGGGCGGAGACTTTGGGGGAAGGGGCGGAGTTGGGGTGGGGCTGGGGGCGGGGCCCCATGGAGTGTCCTCCTTTTGGAGGCACAAAATATGGTAACCCTAGGTTTGCTGCAACCTTCATTTTTGCAAACCCCGCTGTAATCTTATTAGTTTAGTTTAGATGTGTGAATGAGGTATGTATGGATGATGGAATCAACCTCCAGCCCGTCCTGATGAAATAGAGTTCAAACACCAACGGCTGAAGATGCAGACAAGAGCCCTAACAAAGTAAGGAGAATCCACCCTAAAAAGAAAAGGTACAATAGAAGGAAGATCAAAGCCCGGACCGAGGCTGAAAGTCATGTCTGCAATTGACGGGTAATCAATCACCAAACCCAGAGGCAGCCTGACACAGCAAGACCTATAGACTCTGAATTCAAACTAAAGCCTACAAAAAGGATGGGTGAGATGGAAAACTTTAGAGGAGGGTAACATTCTGCTGCCAACATGGAAGGGCATCGGTACATGCCCAACAGAGACCCAGCTCGTCCTTGTGCCCGGCTTTCCAGACTAGTTAGCCGCCACAAGCTACGAACCCAAGCTGCAAACTCAAGCAGGACTGGTAACTATGCAGCAGCTGCAAAACATCTAATGGATGTGTGCGTATGTGTGTGTATAGGTATTAGGTATAATGTGTGTGTATAAGGATTAAGATATTAGTTATTGGTCATAAATCGAATTGTTATCATAATAAATATGGCATCTTTATCTTGTCCCCTTTAATAAGATCCTGCTAGTTTTTATTGGTATAACAACTTATGGTATGTCTATACTACCCACTGAATCGGCAGGCAGTGATCGATCCAACGGGGAATATCTTATTGCCCTTATATAAATCCATGGTACGCCCACATCTTGAATACTATGTACAGATGTGGTCTCCTCATCTCAAAAAAGATATACTGGCATTAGAAAAGGTTCAGAGAAGGGCAACTACAATTATTAGGGGTTTGGAGAAGGTCCCATATGAGGAGAGATTAAAGAGCTAGGACTTTTCAGCTTGGAAAAGAGGAGACTAAGGGGGGATATGATAGAGGTATATTAAATCATGAGTGATGTGGAGAAAGTGAATAAAGAAAAGTTATTTATTTGTTCCCATAATATAAGAACTAGGGGCCACCAAATGAAATTAATGAGCGGCAGGTTTAAAACAAATAAAAGGAAGTTGTTCTTCACACAGCGCACAGTCAGCCTGTGGAACTCCTTGCCTGAGGAGGTTGTAAAGGCTAGGACTATAACAGGGTATAAAAGAGAACTGGATAAATTCATGGAGGTTAAGTCCATTAATGGCTATTAGCCAGGATGGGTAAGGAATGGTGTCCCTAGCCTCTGTTTGTCAGAGGATGGAGATGGATGGCAGGAGAGAGATCACTTGATCACTGCCTGTTAGCTTCACTCCCTCTGGGGCACCTGGCATTGGCCACTGTCGGTAGACAGGATACTGGGCTGAATGGACCTTTGATCTGACCCAGTATGGCCATTCTTATGTTCTTATCTAATGGGGTTGTGCCCAGTGGGGCCCCACAGGGATCTGTTCTCAACCAATTATCTGGAAGAAAATATAAAAACATTGTTGGTAAAATCTGCAGATTAGACAAAAATTGGTGGCATGGTAAACAACAATGGAAACAGGTCAGTCATACAGAACAACCTGGATCGCTTGTGGCTCATTTGAACAACCTGCATTTCAATACAGCTAAATTCAAGGTCACACAACTAGAAACAAAGAATGCAGGTCAAACTTATAAGATGGGAGGAAGGAGGGGATTGTATCCTGGAAAGCAACAACTCTGAGAAGGATTTTGGGGTCATGGCAGACAACAAATTGAACCTGAGCTCCCAGTGAAATCCCATAACAGAGAGTAAATGTGATCCTTGGATGTTTAAATAGGAGAAGGGCAGTAAAGTTACCTGGATATACACCATTTGCGACACCTTTAGTGGAATACTGTATCCACACTTCAAAACAGATGTTAAAAAAATTGCAAAGAATTCAGAAAAGAGCAACGAGAACACCGCAGTTTGGAAAAGATTCCTTACTGCAAAAGACTAAAAAAAAAAGCTCCGTCTATTTAATTTATCTAAGGGAAGATTCAATAGTGACTAGAACACAATCTATAAACAAGGAAGAGCTTTCTGATAGGAATGGCTTTTTAAATTGGCAGAAGATGACAATGACAAATTCAGATTAAAAATAATAATACCTAATAGTGCTTTTCATCAGCAGATCTAAGAATGCTTTACAACAGTCAGTAGCATTATCGTCATTTTACAAACAAGGAAATTGAAGCACGGAGGTGAAAAATAAGGCACAAGTTTTTAAGAATGAACATGATTAACCATTGGGACAACTTACCCAGGGAGGTGGTGGATTCTTTGTCACTTGGAGTCTTTCAATCAAGACTGGATGGTTTTCTAAAAATATATGACATAACTCACACAAGAAGATAGAGGCTCGACACAGAAATTATTGGGTGAGGTTCTATGATGTGTGTTATACAATAGATCAGATTAGATGATCAGAATAAGAAGTTTTAAGGCCTGAAGGAGCCAATCTATGAATTTACACTAGTTGAGGACATAGCTCATCATGTCTGAGCATTCTCTTCTAACTGTAATATTTAAATTTCACAAGTTCTGCAGTAGTTATAGCTTTCCTTCCTAATTAACTCCCCCTTGCACACACAAAATCAAAACTGGTTGTTTTTAGTCCAACATAGAAGAAATGAATTCATTTCCCCTGCCCCCCACCCCCAAAAAATTCAATTAACAGGATAATTTCCTGCTATGGAAATAGTGAAAGTTTCTATTTATTTGATTTCAATAGTAAAACCCCCCCAAACATACCAAACAACCCCTCTTCCCCCACAATTAAGAACTTTGTTATTACACAGTAAACATTTTAAAAACAATACATTTTCCTTGATACAGATAATCAAGTAATATGTTAAATAGTCAGCTGATTCTAAATTACTTACTTACTAGAACATGTAATTTTGACAACACATAAAAAGGTTAAAGGCTTACATAAGGAACGGAATCAGATCGGCTTTTAAGAGGCTGACCCAGCAAGGCAACGAATGACCACATCTCCCACTGATACCAATGGAAGTGAGGGTACTTGGCATCGTACCAGGGCTGGGCCTTCAGCTGAGATTTTCAAAGGAACCTAAGGGAGTTAGGTGCCAAATTCAGGCAACCTCTGAAAAATTCCAGCCTTCATATCACTATGCCCTGGTGTAGCACTAATGGGTTTTGGGAGAGAGCTGAGTTCAGCTTCAATCTTATAAAGAGAATGTCTGATATAGGATCTTTGGGAGAGCAGATGGAGAAGACAGATGAGGTGTAAGTTACTCCAAAGGAACTAAAGATGAAGCACCGAGTTTGGGAGTGTTAGGATCTGGGCTTATGGTTTGGAACCTTCTCTACATAAGAGTTTAGAGCAGTAGGAAATAAAAGAAACTATTGTTCAAACCACTTCACCAAGATAAAATTACATAACCCTCAGAAAACCCATATGCGGTAGGCATTTACCCCCATTTTATAGATGGGGAAATGAAGGTTCAGAGAAGTGTAGCAACTCACACAGCTTGCCTTGTGCTTAGACTACACCCCATAACAATATGTACTATCCAAAACAGTATTTTCTTAGGAGCACTTAAAATGTCACATTACGAACACGCTGCCATTCACCATTGGTGCAACGACTTCTGCTTAGTAAAGTGATGGGTTTGGCCCACGCTTATGGTCCACTCCATTCTGACTGGTTAACCCCATGAATTGAGTGCACATATATTTTCACATCAGTAAGGAGGAACCTCCTTCCGGGAGGTCAGGATTGCCTTCATTTACTCTTCTTTGGTCCGCTTCTCTGTTCAGACCCTTCTGCCCTCTTCTTTCTCCAATCACAGATCTCCGAGTAGCTACATGATTGGCACTTCCATGCTTCCTCAATTTCCACCCCCTGGACCTCCCTTTGTCCTTTCCAGTACGCAAGGTAGTTCTGTGCTTTCTCTCGCACCTTTTCTTCTTCAAACCGAACCACCTCCGTCCCGAGCAGGGTGTTACTTTCCTGGTGGCTGTATTCGATTTTCAAACAGTCAATGCTGGGGAGGTCTGAGAGTGTCAGGTTTAGATACATCAGTTCCAGGAGGTCCCCAAAGCAGGTTACCGTGAATCCTACTTTCTGAGCATGTTCCCTAATTTGCGATCCCAGTGGCTGCTCCGGCCTCAGCTGGATGTGACTGGTGATAACATCTGGTTTCAGTTGTCCTTGCACCATGGCATCAAAAATGTATTTATACAAACAGACCTGAAAGCAGTGGGGGAGGGGGGGGGGAAGGGGGAGATAATTTAATAGATGATCAAACAATAGTGCATTAAAGAATGCAACAAGCTGGGGATGAACTCCCCTAGGCTATGTCTACACTGACAGCTAGGGGTGGGAATCCCAGCTTCAAAAGACATACTCCACTTTCACTCACCTGAGCTGGCATGCTAAGAATAGTAGTGTAACATAGGCAGGGGTGGCACAACCTAGCCACCACGAGTACGAACCCCCCAGGTTCAATCGGCTGCTGTCCATGCTCCACTAGTTTTAGCTCAGATGAGAGCAAGCGTGAGTGTGTCTGCCCGAGCTGGGAATCACAGCCCGAGCGCAGAGTGTAGGCATAGCCTCAGGCGTCATTGGCAACTCCAGCCCTAAACCATCACGCTACTCAGTGCAATACTTCCTTGAAAGCCAAGTGTATTATACGTAGAAATACCCATCTCCGTAAGGTTATAGATCACCTCCAAATAAATGAGTAGCCCAGGAAAATGTGTACGACTCACAGAACCACAGAGGAGCTAGTGATAAAAATGTACATGCAAATAACTTCTAGGTGTAAATAAAGTGTGTTCAAAATTGAGGAGAGAGTCTGACAGAATGAGACTTAATCAGCTTTAAAAGGTGGGGTTTTCACCACTGCCCTAACTCTAAATGGGAATCGGGCAGCCAAATAAATCCTTTAGGCAGCTTTGATGATACGCAGCTGAAAGCAGATCTCAAATTACATGAATAGGGTGCACTTGTAGTTAAAATAAACTTAATATTGCACAACCAATCCAAGTGCTGTGGGATTTGATGGCAATAGTTTAGTAGGTGACATATGTCTCTGCAAGTCAGCATTGAACCAATCATCTGGGAGGCCATGGACAGCTGGAGTTCCATCTTTTGCGTGAGATGCTGATCCAGTGTCCTGCCTTGTCTTTGAAGATCCTAGGACCTTCAAAGAGAAGGGTTGTTAACGCTGCTGCCTGGTCTGAATTCCAGTTTGGGTGGTTATACTCCACCTACATGGAGTTCCCCTTCTAGTTTCAACTGAATACTTCCTGTCCTAACCAGTTGTGTAACATGATGGCTGGCTGTCAAACAGCGGTTCTCTTTCATTCCAGAGATGGCTGCAATTCACATATAATTCGCACAATAATCTGTAGGATGTTTTTGGTATAAGAGGGACAATATAAATACATGGTCATTACATTACATAAGAACAGCCGTACTGGGTCAGATCAAAGGTCCATCTAGCCCAGTATCCTATCTACCGACAGTGGCCAATGCCAGGTGCCCCAGAGGGAGTGAACCTAACAGGTAATGATCAAGTGATCTCTCTCCTGCCATCCATCTCCACCTTCTGACAAACAGAGGCTAGGGACACCATTCCTTACCCATCCTGGCTAATAGCCATTGATAGACTTAACCTCCATGAATTTATCCAGTTCTCTTTTAAACGCTGTTATAGTCCTAGCCTTCACAACCTCCTCAGGTAAGGAGTTCCACAAGTTGACTGTGCGCTGTGTGAAGAACTTCCTTTTATTTGTTTTAAACCTGCTGCCCATTAATTTCATTTGGTGGCCCCTAGTTCTTATATTATGGGAACAAGTAAATAACTTTTCCTTATCTACTTTCTCCACATCACTCATGATTTTATACACCTCTATCATATCCCCCCTTAGTCTCCTCTTTTCCAAGCTGAAAAGTCCTAGCCTCTTTAATCTCTCCTCATATGGGACCCGTTCCAAACCCCTAATCATTTTAGTTGCCCTTCTCTGAACCTTTTCTAGTGCCAGTATATCTTTTTTGAGATGAGGAGACCACATCTGTATGCAGCATTCAAGATTTATATAAGGGCAATAATATATTCTCCTTCTTATTCTCTATCCCCCTTTTTAATGATTCCTAACATCCTGTTTGCTTTCTTGACCGCCTCTGCACACTGCGTGGACATCTTCAGGGAACTATCCATGACGACT